ACAATTTAATTAATTTATATTTAAAACATTTATTTTCGTACAAATAATATATATTCTTTAATAATCTATATTCTTTAAATAATATATATATTCTCTCTAACAAATAATATATATTCTTAAAACAATACTAGAAATCTCAAAACGTAACAAATCGTGAATAATTACTAAAACATTTTAACAGAATACTCTAGAACTTTATTTCGCTTAATCAGTGTATTTTTTGAAACCAATAGAATTAGGTTGTTTGTTAATTTGGCGGGTTTTTAGAGTTCACAAATATTATTTTTATTCTTTCGCACGAAGATAATTTGAGAACATTCTAGTTTATTATGTTTCCATGTATGTCCGTAAAACAAAAATTCTTTGTTTCGTACATAAACTTAAATGTTCTCAAAACGACTGAAAAACCTGGCAGTTTTACGCAACTAAATATAATTTCCGTGGTCAGTATTCGAGAGCGATCGCTCCCGCTTCCCGACCAAGCCTGTATATATATATATATGTATATATGTATATATATATATATATATATATATATATTATATATATATATATATATATATATATATATATATATATTATATATATTATATATATATATATATATATATATATATATATATATATATATATATATGTTTTCAATTATTATTTTATTAATGATTTTAGTTTAATATTATTTTGTAAAATAATATATATATATATATATATATATATATATATATATATATATATATATATATATATATATATATATATATATATAAATATATATATATATATATATATATATATATATATATATATATATATATATATATATATATATATATATATATATATATATATATATATATATATGTATATATATATATATATGTATATATATATATATATATATATATATAGATATATATATATATATATATATATATATATATATATATATATATATATATATATATATATATATATATATATATATATATATATATATATATATATATTTTAATTATTTCTGAAATTTGTTTATAAATCGTTATTGAATAAAAAATAATAATAATTTTTTTTTTTTAATTTCTGGAGTAAACAAATAATATTAACATTGATAAACAAAAACCCTTGTAAATTATTTAAACAGCTATTTTGTTTTGAGTAGCAAAGAATAATTTAGGTTTTTAAATATTTTTTAAATTTATGTTGCTTAGCGTTTTAACTTGCATTATATAAAAATATAAAAAAGTCATGTCTGCTTTGAGCATATTTTTGATACGTAGTTTAGAACACGTTTGCCAGCAATTTAATTCAAAAAGTTTTTATGTTATCGTAAAAATGTTTTACATTTTAAACAAATCACAAAGAAACAGAGCTATAATGAAAAATCGTTTTTAACGATTAAATCTTTTTTTTTTGAACTTTAGGAAATTAAAACAAAAATTAAATAAATATTAAAGTTTTAATTGTGCAAACTCTTTTGTTAATTATTCTTAAAACAAAAAACAAACACTGCTATGCAAAACTTTAATCATGCAAACTTAAAAAAATACTCAACTAAAATAATATAAGTATATTTAATAATTTGAATTGTACCTGTTTCTAATAAACTTTCGTTAAAATTTATCATTAAAAATTAAGTTCCTTAACTTATACATAAACTCAAAAGTATTTTCATTCTACGTGTAATTACAAAACTCTTTTTTTTTCATTTTTAAGCAATTTAACCTAAAATAATAAAATAAAAAAAGAATAATATGAGGTAATCTTTGATAAGAACAAATTTAATTTGTTTATTGAACTATATTTTTATTTTCATTTCTATACCAACTTAAATAAAATATAGTAACATGTTAAAATAGTTTAACATGACTTGTGTCATTTACAAACCGTAGGGCAGCTGCCGTTACGGCACCATTGGTTTTGGATAATATTTTATTTTGATGAAGATCACATAACTTACATATAATTTCAATAACGTAAGTCTTCTCTTTTTCTGTGATAGTTTTAATTAGAAAAGCATCGGCAAAGTCCCAGGGTTTAAAAGTTTTTAAAGCAAATCTTTTGTCCTTTAAAATACAATCCATACTCGAACTTTAAACAATTTGCAGAGAATAGAAATATACTTGGTTTTTATATACTAGTTTGTCTTATTTTATACAGAAAAATACATAGTCATTAGTAAAAAATAGAGACTGTCATTAAACTAAAACGTGCCTAAGTATTTATTTATAGGAGTCTGTAATGTGCATGTGCATAATGAAACCTCCGTTATATAAATATATTCAACATAATATTAGTATCATCAGCAGATGTTATATTTTACTCGAGATTTCTTTACCTTATAATATAACTTGATTTATGAAAAAAAAAAAACTTAAACTGCACGCAGAAGAAATTTGTCTTCATGTGTTACTAAAAGGTAATTTTTTTAATTATGTGAATAATAATTATATATATTTATTTATAAAAATTACCTGTTACTAACAGGTACTTTTTTTTTCTG